AAAGTTGGCGAGTGCAGCAGCAGCGGCACTATGTGTCTTCAAACCCTCTTGACAAGTACTTGTTTTTAAAAACTTATTTAGTGTTATGCCTTGTATGTACTCCATAACAATAGCTTGAGGAGGAGACATCTTGCAAATACAGTGGTACCTCGGGATACAAACAGCTCAAAACTCGAACAGTTATGTAAGTGCATTTATGTAAGTGCTCTTGTAAGTATATTTTCGGGGGTCTGAAATGGATTAATCAAATTTACATTATTCCTTATGAGAACAAATTCGTTCGGTATCAGCACTTGAACAGCCTTCTGGAATTAATTAAGTTCGTATCCCGAGGTGCCACTGTATTTGGAGATGAGGCTTAACAATTTCTTCTCCATCAGAGAAAAGCTTCCATTTTTTTAGTCAACACAAAGGCAGTTTCTTTGGATGTTTTCATCATCGCAACTGAATATTTTTTAACTGAAAACATATTAATATGTAAGAAGATGATATTCACTAAAAGATGTACATGAAATAAAATCACTAAAAATGATTGCTGTTTTTTTTATTTATTCTCGGTAAAATTAATTTCTATCTACAGTGGACCCCCGCATACCGTTGGCATCACATAACGTTAAATCCGCATACCGATACATTTTATCGCTAAGATTTTGCCTCGCATACCGCTAAAAAACCCGCTCAACGCTATTCGTCCGAGACGCGTCTAATGTGCGGCCTGAGCCAGCCTCACATGTTCCGCTGGTGGCATTGTTTACAAGCCAGCCTCCGCGGTAACATCCAAGCACACAATCGGAACATTTCATATTATTACAGTGTTTTTGGTGATTTTATCTGCAAAATAAGTGACCATGGGCCCCAAGAAAGCTTCTAGTGCCAACCCTGTGGTAAAAAGGGTGAGAAATATCAAAATACTGTGGTACCATGGTCAACTGCTGATGCTGCTGCTGCTGTAGCACTGTCAGCTGCTGCTGCTGCTGCTGCACTGTCAGCTGCTGCTGCTGCTGCTGTAGCACTGTCAGCTGCTGCTGCTGCTGCTGTAGCACCGTCAGCTGTTGCTGCTGCTGTACCACCATCAGCTGCTGCTGCTGCTGTAGTACCGTCTGCTGCTGCTGTAGCACCGTCTGCTGCTGCTGTAGCACCGTCTGCTGCTGCTGTAGCACTGTCAGCTGCTGCTGAAGCACTGTCAGCTGCTGCTGCTGCTGCTGTAGCACTGTCAGCTGCTGCTGCTGTAGCACGATCAGCTGCTGCTGCTGTTGTACCACCGTCAGCTGCTGCTGCTGCTGTAGTACCGTCTGCTGCTGCTGTAGCACCGTCTGCTGCTGCTGTAGCACTATCAGCTGCTGCTGTAGCACTGTCAGCTGCTGCTGCTGCTGTAGCACTGTCAGCTGCTGCTGCTGCTGCTGTAGCACCGTCAGCTGCTGCTGCTGCTGCTGTAGCACCGTTGTTGGTGTGGCTTATTGAAAATACCAAGAAACAATTAACCCCAGAGGGTTAGCCACCCAGGATAACCCAAAAAAGTCAGTGTCATCGAAGACTGTCTAACTTATTTCCATTGGGGTCCTTAACCCTTTCAGGGTCCGTCCCGTAGATCTACGGCTTTACGGTGAGTGTCCAAACCGTAGATCTACGCCATGAGCTCAGCTCACTCTGATAAACTGTGAGTGGTACATTTGGGCCTAGATATGAGAGAATACATCTATGTGGTATGTGTGCACCACATAAAACAGATTCTGCAGCACACTGTGTATAATGAGAGAAAAAAACTGAAATCATGATTTTTCGATTGAAACAGCAACTTTGCAGTGTTTTTTCATATGTTTTTTATAGTTGTATTTGCGATTTCTTGGTCTCATTTGATAGAATGGAAGACATATTACAGAAATAAAGATGATTTTGATTGGTTTTCGCACTGGAAATGGCTTGAAACTGAGCTCAAAGTAGCGGAAATGTTAAATTTTTGCCGATATTCAAGAGTAAACAAACGACCTCACACGTCTAATACACGCCAGCTGGTGGGTCTAATATACATTCACAAATATGGTGATGATATTTATATAATTATTACAGTATTGCATAACAGTAAATCTTCTATTTTTTGGTGTGAATAAAAATTCATTATGTGAATAAAAAATCAAAATGGAATTTATTTGTAATGCCTCAAAACATAACTAATGAACAGAGGAAATGTTAGTTTAGTGCCAGGAATGCCTACATTGTTTATTCTGGACCCTATTTTGAAATTGGAATATTTTGAACTTTGTGTTAAATTGGCCAAATTAACAATTTCCGATCACTTTATTTTGTAGTTGAAACAGTTGACTTGGCGATTTCTTGTGCTCAATCGATAGAATGGAAGTAATACTAGTGAAATAGCTAAGAATTTGGTTGATTGGAATAATGTAATTGGCCTAAAATGGGAGTCAAAGTCGGCAAAATCGCCGATTCGTAAATATCGCTGACACATCAAAATTTGCGAGAGCATAATTTCGTCAATTTTCCACCAAATTTCGTACTTTTTGTTTTATTACCTTCACAAAAAGATTCTCTACGATTTCATAAAAAAAATAACAAATTTTTTTTTTTTAAATTCTTGGACACTGGTGCGTGACTCCAGATTTGGGCCTTGGACCCTGAAAGGGTTAATCTTGTCTCCCAGGATGCAACCCACACCAGTCGACTAACACCCAGGTGAACAGGGAAAAATGCCTGGAACTAGTGCTCATATTGGTGAATTTAAAGCCAGCAAAGGTTGGTTTGAGAGATTTAAGAATCGTAGTGGCATACACAGTGTGATAAGGCCTGTTCTGGAAGAAAATGCCAAACAGGACCTACAGTACTCAGGATGAAAAGGCACTCCCAGGACACAGTGTCTCATCAGTCATTGCTGCATCTTCAATAAAGGTAAGTGTCATTTATTCTTCATTTAGTAGAGTAGTACATGCACAATATATATTGTGCATGTACTACTCTACTATTGTGTATGTATCCTTCTCTTTGTGTGTAGGAAAATGTATATTTCATGTGGTAAAATTTTTTTTTTTCATACTTTTGGGTGTCTTGCATGGATTAATTTGATTTCCATTATTTCTTATGGGGAAAATTCATTCGCATAACGATAATTTCGCATAACAATGAGCTCTCAGGAACGGATTAATATCGTTATGCGGGGGTCCACTGTATAAGTTTCTTCAATTTCTGTAATAATTTTTTTCTACAAATTGGTAATTGGTTAATACGTTTTGTTTGAGTAGGCTTGCTTTTTTATCACTGGGATACAGTGCACCACTTATGGTGCAGTGCACCACTTTCAGTGCAGTGCACCACTTATGGTGCAGTGCACCACTTTCAGTGCAGTGCACCACTTATGATGCAGTGCACCACTTATGGTGCAGTGCACCACTTATGGTGCAGTGCACCACTTATGGTGCAGTGCACCAATTTCAGTGCAGTGCACCACTTATGGTGCAGTGCACCACTTTCAGTGCAGTGCACCACTTATGATGCAGTGCACCACTTATTGTGCAGTGCACCACTTATTGTGCAGTGCACCACTTTTGGTGCAGTGCACCACTTATGGTGCAGTGCACCACTTATTGTGCAGTGCACCATAGGTTGGCATCCCTGGTGTAACAGATATTCTAGGAAGAGTTGAAGGGAGAGTGTGTGTGTGTTAGAGTAGAGACCAACATTAATGTTTGTGTTTGTAATGACAGGCGCAGGAGACTATCAAGATGGCTGTCTGTGTCCTCCTGGGAGACTCTGGTGAAATATCTAAGGAAAAAATTACTTCAGAATCAGGTGATACTGGTGCCTCCATCCACTGGAAGATTCAACCATCACCATCACCTTACTGATACTGGAAGATTCAACCATCACCATCACCTTACTGACACTGGAAGATTTCACCATCACCATCACCTTACTGACACTGGAAGATTTCATCATCACCTTACTGACACTGGAAGATTCAACCACCACCATCACCTTACTGACACTGGAAGATTCAACCACCACCATCACCTTACTGACACTGGAAGATTCAACCATGACCCACCTCACCTTACTGACACTGGAAGATTCAACCATGACCATCACCTTACTGACACTGGAAGATTCAACCACCACCATCACCTTACTGACACTGAAAGATTCAACCACCATCATCACCTTATTGACACTGAAATTCAACCATAACCATCACCTTACTGACACTGGAAGATTCAACCATCACCATCACCTTACTGACACTGGAAGATTCAACCATCACCATCACCTTACTGACACTGGAAGATTCAACCATCGCTATCACCTTACTGACACAATTACTGGTGAAATTCCTCTGACGAAGTTAACTGTAAGTTGAAAGTCCTTGTGAGTTTCTTTTTTATTTATGACGTTATTAATCATGATAATGCATTGACATGATTTTCATTGTTAAAGATTATTATCTACTGTGTTATGCCTAAAATATGGTAACAGACCAGTTAACTAAGTTATCCGTAACTCTTCATAATGTTTTAACCCTTTGACTGTTTTGGTCATATACACCTACCATCCGACTTACGACCTGCTCGACTTACGACGACTCGACTTACGACCGTGTTTTTTATGCCAAATTTCTGGGAAATAATCAAGTGTTTGTGTTGTACACAGTGTTTATCCTAAACCTTACAGTATAAAATACAGTACTAACAGCATAAAAAGTAAAGTAAAACATAAAATACCAAAATGAAACAATGAAATACATAAAGTCATTACAAAAATGTTATGTTGATATTCAGTAGCAAAGTTCGACTTAAGACCATTTCGACTTACGACCGGTTTCTCGGAACCGAACTCGGTCGTAAGTCGGATGGTAGGTGTATACTAAACCCAATTGGGTCACACAGTGCCATACTCATGCCTCTAGAAACATTCATGGATAGGCAAAAGCATCAATTACCAATTCAAACAACTGATATCTCTCAATCAAATTCATTTCACAAAGAAAGAACACCCACCTTCTATATGTAGAATAGTCATTCTTAACACTAGACTTCATATTTTTCAATTCGTCCAAAACTGCGAACATATTTATGAATTTTCCAAGCGTAAGCAGATAAGCTTCTGACACAAAGTCTTTTCTTTTCTCCTGATGACAAAGGCGTTTGACTTGGGTGCAGAAGACATCAATGGCTTTACGCTGGTGAAATATAAAAACTAATTATTCATACACTCTCAACTAGATACAGTAATGTAAATAAGTGGTTCAGAGAACCAACAGGATGATGAATAAGACACTTGTGCAACACTTGGGTATCTTTACAGTAGAAACATTTTGCCAACCAGTGGCTTCTTCAGTCCAACACAGAGAAGAATGGTTAAAGATCAGTAGGAGTTTTAGGTACCTGTATTGGACTGGGTAAGCTGCTGGTTGGTGAAACGTTTCCACAATAAATATACCCAGCTGTTGCACAAGTGTCTATATACAGTATTAAATTATCCAACAACACACAAACATTAACACACAATGCCTGATTATGCCCTCATTTTTAATGACATACTTTTTGTTAGGTAAAAGGACACAAGTGCAACTAATGTGACATTTTATTGTGGCAACATTTCACTCTCCAGGAGCTTTGTCAAGCCATTATGGCTTGACAAAGCTCCTGGAGAGTGGAACGTCGCCACAATAAAATATCACATTAGTTGCACTTGTGTCCTTTTACTTAACATATGTTGGGAATTCTACCAATATTAATACGAAACAGTTTTTGCATTAGTGCCATAATTTTGTATTAATCAGATAATAATCCATTTACATGACCCATCAACAACATACAATATATAATGTACTAAGTCAATTATCACCCATCAACTGTGGTAAAATATCCAGAACAGTGGTATGTCACATATTTCATTAGGGGCTGCCTCAATAAGTCAAAGAACTCCTGTCTCCACACTGAAAGCACAAAAAATAAGATTCTAATGAAAGAATTCTGTAATATAGTAAATGTAAATTAAACTTACGTATTTTATTGAAACAAAGAGGGGAAAAGGTAGTACAGTGCAGTATACACATATATAAAATTCTTATACACATATTTAAAATAAACAAGCCCTCATTAAAACCAACTGAAAAAATCACTGTACCTGAAAGTTCATGAATTTTGTTAATTTCTTCACCTCATCAGACAGCACCCTGACTGTTTTCTCATATATTTCAACACGATTGGGCTGCTCATTTGACTTGGGCTGTGGGATAGCCCGGGAGCAGCAGCGCCATGTGTAAAGCATAACTGCATGCTGCTCTCCTTCCTCCAAAAGTTTGTTCTAAAACAGAATTGAAATATGCAACAGGAATATATTAATATACTGTATGTTATTGATTCCCAGGATCACCACTTACACCAGGCCATCTAAACTGGAAAGGAAATATTATAGGAAAAAGAACTATCAATAAATACGGGGAAAAGAGAGATTAGTGTATACTGAATGTAGGATAAATCTAAGGGGGACAGATTACCAAGAAAATAAAAACTAGGGAAAAATTTTATAATCATATAAGAGTATAGCAATTCTTATTAGCACAATGCCTGTAGTATTATAGTACAATATATTTCAGCAAAACATTTAATTTAATAATGACTTTGGCATCTTTCCATTAACTCTATGTATATAACATAACTTTAAAAGCAATCAGCATTTGCATTTCTTACCAGTTCTGCATGAGTTGCAGCCTCTTCCATGTACTTTGCTACCCCAGTTACATATGCCATACGATCTTCAAAGTTAGTATCAAAATTAGCAGTGTACACAACCGAGCATGCCTGTGCCTCAATGACAGGCTGCTGGTCAGGCAGAGGCAAGTCATCCAAAACGTCGACATTGCTCAGTGCATCCGTGATTGTCACACGTTCGCCCGCCATTCCGATGCTGTAAGCAAAAATCAATTGCTTTAGCATGTGGTTCATGTCTTGCACCATTGTAAAATTTATTCCTAAGCTTCCCAACACATAAAATATGCTGTATTATGAGACTCAACTACCCTTAACTCTCAGCAATGCCAGCTGCTGATTCCATACCTGGTATGGGAAGGTCACTCCATTAAAAATTACAATGTGACAAATATGAGATCTGTTTTATTATTACTACATGGATATGTATTTAGAAATGAGCAGAGAATTGCAAGATAGAAATGCTACAAGCTGGAAATGCTATATGATGGAAATGCTAAGGGACGGAAATGCTACGGGCTGGAAACGATCTAGTCGGAAATGCCTTTGATGTTATCATAAACTTTTTTGAAAATTCTCACCAAAAATTTTTCCCCTACGTCAACTCACCACCTACACGCCCTGGAGTTTACCCTAAGCGAGTATGATCACTTCTATACCTCATTAAAATCACTTAAATTACCTAATGGAAATTTTGTGCCATTACCATGAGCTGCTAAACCAATAGGTGTCACACAATTCCATGAAAATGTCATTCCTGTCAAGCTCACGAACAATATAGGAAAAGAGACACGACTTACGGCTATTTTTTCCCTTATTTTAGAAAAATTTTATACGTATGGGAGCCAACTGGAAGCCTAAATGAGTACATTTACCCTCTTGTACTGCAAATGTACACTATGAACAGATGCAAGTGTCACTACACAAGACAGTGAACACTGAACACTTAATAGCCAACGAGATGCAACGTAAAAACGCCACTTTTTCCCCATGTTTTAGTCAAATTTTACAGTTTTGAGAGTCAAGTAGAGGCCTAAATGAGTGCATTTACCCACCTGTACCACAAATATGTTATATGAACGAACGTAAGTGTTACTACACAACAATACGTTAGTGAACTATGAACACTTAAAACAGCCAACGAGACGCATCGTTTAAAAGGCCATTTTTTCCATATTTCTGATAAAATTTGTACATATGGGAGCTAAGTGGAAGCCAAAATGAGTACATTTACTCATCTGTACTGTAAATGTACACTCTGAATAGACATAAATGTTGCTACACAACACCAAGCTTGTCAAAACTTAACAGGCAACGAGACGCAACGTAAAAAGACCACTTTTTTCCATATTTCTGACAAATTTTATGGACATGGAAGTCATGTGGATGCCAAAATGTGCACATTCACCTACCTGTACTGCAAATGTGCCCTCTAAATAGACCTAAACGTTACATTTTTACCGGGACATAAGAGATGTGGCCCAACCCTTCCCGTGTAAACAAACACACTGAGAGAGCAGCAGCAGGAAGAGCATCACCTTGCGTCCAGGAACTCTCTCTCTCTCTCTCTCTCTCTCAATGATGGTTATTATTAAGTTTATATTGTCTTTTCTCGACCTTGGCGTTGGCTATCTCTCTATCTCTCCTTGATTCCTTCTTTAATTTGCTTGTCTGCCTGCTTGCTTTTTTTCTTCCTGCTTTCATTGTTTTGCTTTCCTTCCTTGTCTTCCTACCTTCCTTCCTTCCTCCCTCCATTTCTTCCTGTATCTCTTTCTCTCTCCCTCCCTTCATTTCTCCATTCTCCCCTGCCTCTTTTCTTCCCTTTATTTTCTTCTTGCTTTCATTGTTTTGCTTTCCTTCATTGTCTTCCTACCTTCCTTCCTTCCTTCCTTCTTTCCTTCCTTCCTCCCTCCATTTCTTCCTGTATCTCTTTATCTCTCCCTCCCTCCATTTCTCCATTCTCCCCTGCCTCTCTTCATCCCTTTCTCTCTCCCACCCTTCCTGCTGCCTCTTCCACCTTCCTTCCTAAGCCGTCCCACCAGCCCCTCCCACCCCATTCATTCATTTCCTGCTGCCTCTCCCACTTTACTAACCACACAATAACATCCATACATGTACGTGTGCATTATACCATACTGTGTATTGTACAAAAAAATATAGTTACAGATATCTGAAATATATGCGATATGAATATTTAAAAGTTCCCCTGATCATATTCCTGTAAAAAATGCATTGTATTTTTATCCTAGATCATTTACAATATATATGATAATTGTACTTATGTGTACCTGTACCTTAATAAGCTTATTTACGTGTATGCATGAACAAATACAACAGGTGAAATGCAGTATAATATCTTTATTTACTACAAGTACATGTACACTGTATACAGGCCTAGCTGACGTCAATGACATACTACTATATAGAAAGCTGCTTGTTATGCAAAGCATTTCGGGCAAATTAGGTCAGTTTTGTCCCAGGATGCGACCCACACCAGTCGACAAACTTCCAGGTACTCATTTTAACTGATGGGTGAACACACACAACTGGTGTAAAGAAACACGCCCAATGTTTCTACCCTCGCTGGGAATTGAACCCAGACCCTCGCCGTGTGAAGCAAGAGCTTTAGCCACCAGGCCACGGGGCACCGTTTCAGTTATTAATACCGTATCAATTATTAATACTGTAATATCCATTATATACTAAGAAATGTGAATTACACTAACATTTTGCAATATACCGAGAAATCAAGAAAGAAATGGACAAGCATGAGAGTAAAAAAGGTCGTTTATAATTAAGAAGGAAACGTCTACGGAAAGAGGGAAGTGGCAATGGTGCATCGCTCAGTTCCCTGTGCATGTAGTTATGTGGGCGGGAGGTTCACCTGTCATTGTTAAAAAGAACAAGTTTCTCTTTTTACACGGCTGAATTTACAACAGGCTAAGTGCTGTTATTCGACCTCATAATGAATCTGGATATCTGACGTAAATACGTTGAATCCGGATATCTGACTCGACGCTCTAGAACGTAAACACATTGAATCCGGATATCTGACTTGACGTTCTAAAACGTAAACACATTGAATCCGGATATCTGACTCGACGCTCTAGAACGTAAACATACTGAATCCGGATATCTGACTCGACGCTCTAGAACGTAAACATACTGAATCCGGATATCTGACTCGACGCTCTAGAACGTAAACATACTGAATCCGGATATCTGACTCGACGCTCTAGAACGTAAATATATTGAATCCGGATATCTGACTCGATGCTCTAGAACGTAAACACCTTGAATCCGGATATCTGACTCGACGCTCTAGAACGTAAACATAGTGAATCCGGATATCTGACTCGACGCTCTAGAACGTAAACATATTGAATCCGGATATCTGACTCGACGCTCTAGAGCGCAAATATACTGAATCCGGAAATATGATTCAGAGCTCAAGAATGCAAATATATTTAATAGGGATATTTGACTCGGCGCTCGAGAATGTAAATATAATGAATCCGGATAGCTGACTCAGCGTTCAAGAACCTAAATAACCTATAGAATTCAAATATCTGATTCGGCCCTAATTACTTATATCAAGAATCCATCACCAATATCCGGGTCCTAATTTCTTAAATCAAGAACCCTTCACCAATATCAAGGCTCTAATTTCTTAAATCAAGTACCCATCACCAACATAAAGGCTTTAATTTCTTGAATCGAGAACCCTTCACCAATATCAAGGCACTAATTTCTGAAACCAAGTATCCCCTCACCATCATCAAAGTTCTAATTTCTTAAATCAAGAACCCATCACCAGCATCAAGGCACCTTCCTCGAAGAATAAGAGTCAGTATTACTAAGGAATGCTTCGTATTCTCGGCATGACCCGTTTCCATGTAGTTTCATTTTTTAACCTTCATTACAAGCAATTGTCAGACCATAGTGGACGCTTTTTGTGTTATACATAAATATAACTAAAAAAAAAAATATTTAAGAGGCCACATAATGAGTCCAGGGACAGGGATAAAAAAATTATGTACAATTGTAGTCCACTATTTTTTTTTTTAATTTCTTGATTCAGGGAAACCGGCAAGCCGGACTCGAGTCCTTTTCGGGCCACCGTACCTTGGTGGGAAACGGCCGATATGTTAAAAAAAAAACTTGAATGGCACACAATAATGAGCACAATCATGAAGTCATATCTACAGGCCTCATTTATAAATCAGTTTTATTCCTTAATGTGGATATACTTTGTGGTGTTTGAGTGATTTGTCCTCAGTGGGATTTGTGCACATTGGTGTGTTCAAAAAATCAATATTTTTCAAAACGGTTCATTCTGCAAGTAGCAGCCCAAAAGAACACTGTTACAGAGGTCACACTGAGTTTTTGTCAGATGCCACCGATCATAGTTACATCTTTTAAAGCTATTACAGTCATTTTACATATTACAGTTTCATTGCTAGGCAATCTACACAATAGAACTTGTTGATACAGTTTCACGAAAACCAAGGCATCTAATTCATTTTCGTCCGTCCTTGACCACATCAAACTATGATCATGATAATGATGTATCTAAAGTGTGATGAAACACAACACTACACAGTCACATTGGTTGATAGAAAAATCAATGACATACACATACAAATAAAATAAATACAATACAAATAGACAGATCTCCATTTTAAGGAAGCTATTAGAAGAATATAACAGTAAAATAAACAAATAAAATCACATCATGAAATCCTGTGTAATCTGCAACCAAACAAACAAACGGGCTACTCCATGGATTACATGCATCTTCTGTGGGAAATACCCACGCACCTTGTGCAGGTATTCAAGAATCATCTATAAGAGATATTTAACCAGGGAAGTGTTGTTGGGTATGCCCAAATGAGACCGAACTGTGGAATAAAATCACATTGATATTAAAAGATGATAACATCAAAACGGGCTTCATAAAAAAACATGACAGCATTCTGTAACAGTTAGAAAAATAAAAAATCTGGGCCAGATGGTGGTATCGCCACGGGTACAAATGCTGTCTTGGTAGACAGTAACTGTAAGAATAGAGAAATAAATGATGGTGGCCTGGAGGGGGACAGCTCTAGTGAGGAAACAGGAGTAGACAAGGACAAGGACATGCAAAAATCAATGTTTCAAACTAGCAATACCACGGGAGATAGTAAACAAGGGGATGCC